GCTTTTACATTTATATTTGCTAAATTCTCCTGAAGCTAGATTCAGTGTCCTCCACAGTCCACAAGAGGAGTGCGGCTAAATACAAAGGTCATCAGACAAATGCAGCTAAGTGAGAACATTATGAAATGAAATCACTTTTCCCTTCACCCAAAAAGTTGAAAAATTATCATTAGCTTAGTTGCTATTGAATTCCTCAGAAAAGACATGATAGAAAACAACACTGGCAGAAAAACCTCTTTGCCTTTCCTGTGTCTAATATAGCATCCAGTACATGGTATTCACAGTATTCAGTAACAATGCATTGAATAAATAAATGGTTGAGGGCATTAATCTGTGTTTCCTGACTTGCAAATTTTTTGACTTGCAGAAAACTGGCTTGATATTAAAAACAGAACATATCCCGGAAATCATGGCCAAAGTATGATATCATAAAGAATATATCTGGTCTGTGTCCCTCATTCCTTGCACAGAACTTCAAAGACCCTTTGAATTTCCTGACTGATAGTTATTTCTTTGCTGTGCTAATGGGTGACTCATACTGGGCCCACAGATAGTTTCAAGGGAGAAGCTGGACACACTAGAAAGAAAGACCAAGCAAGTATTTAGCGGGTAGGAACTTCCAGCCTTACTCCCCACCCCCAGCCTCTAAGGAGGGGAGAGGAACTGGAGATGGATTCAGTCATGGCCAGTGACTTAATCAATCATGCCTAAATAATGAAATCCCATATAAAAACTCTGGACATCGAGTTTAGTGGAGCTTCCTGGTTGGTGAACTTACTGAAGTACTGGAAGAGGGGTGTCCCTGACTCCATATGGACAGAAGCTCCTGTACTATAGACCTTCTTAGGCCTTTCCTTATGTATCCCTTCTTCTGGCTGTTCATTTGTATCCTTTGTAATAAAACAGCAATTGTAAATACAGAGCTTTGTTGAGGTCTGTGAGTTATTCCTGCAAATTATCAAACCTGAGAGGGTTATTGGAAGCCCTTGATTTGAAGATGTCCAGGCAAAAGTGCAGGTGGTTTGGAGACACCTGAAATTTGAAGCTGGCATTTGCAGTGGGGCAGTATTGTGAGACTGAGCCCTTAATTTCTAGAGTCTCCACTAACTCTGGGTAGTGTTGATATTTAATTGAATTGTAAGAAACCCAGTTGGTGTCTGTCAGAATGCACAAAGAAGATCACAAGAAAACCCAACACACCTTGAGTATCTGCAGAGAAGTTTCTCTGATACGGATCAATGAAAAAAATTAAATGTTGTAACACCAGGAATCATGGATTTTATGAGACAGCTACATACAGCAGAAAGTGCATTAGGAGTAACCCTTAATAACCGCCTAACCTTGGAAAGTCACTTGACCCGAGGATTCCTGGTTTCCACATCTGTACAGATGTGGACAATGAGGCCTGCACTGATAGTCACTTTCGTGCCAACTCGGCTGCACCACAGCTCTGGATATTTGCTCCAACATTATTCTGGATGTTTCTGTGATGGTCTTTTTGAATGAGATTTACTTTTAAAGTAAATGAGTAAAGCTCCACAATGTTGGTGGGCCTCATTCAATCTGCTGGAGGTCTGAAGGTCTGGCTGCAACGAAAGACTGAGCCGCCCTGAGCAAGAAGTTATTCTGCCAGCAGACCACCTTCAGACTTCAGCCGCAGCATTGGTCTGCTCTTTGCATGGGTCTCACATTTTGAACTTGCCAGCCTCCATAATCGTGTGAGTCAATCTGTCAAAATAAATCTCCCTCCCCACCCCTCTCTCTCATTAACACACACACACACACACAAATTCTATTAATCTGTTTCTCTGGAGATCCTTGACTAAAACACTACTTTACCTGGCTATTGTGGAAATTAAATGAGATAATGTATTTGAAACCACTTTGTAAATTTTAAAGCATTATAAAACATAAGGGTGGTTAAGTCTGGCCTGCACATGTAATGTGTACTGACCTTTGTTGAGGCTTTATAGACATATAAATTAATGTTTGTAGATGTAATCTCAGATCAATGTTATAGGTAAATGGATTTAAAATATCACAGAAGAAGCCACAAGACAGCAACAAGCAGGGAGAGGAGCCTACTGGACTTCTGCTCTGAACTGAAATAGCACCTGCTGCCATAGAGTGTAACTCCACGTGGACCAGAAACTACAGCTTAGTTGGCTCAGTTCAACTGACATACCCAGCATCTGGAACAGTGCTCTGCACAGTCCCGGTCCCGATATGGCTAACGAATAAGTGACTTTTATCTATATGATCACCCCAAAAGTACAGTTTTATGAGTGACGAGGTAGAAAGAGAGAAATGCCTCAGGGTTAACCTAAAACACTTCGGCATAAAGCAGGGAGGGTTTGGAAGGATATATGTACTGAATCCGGCCATTCCCTCTGAAGGGTTCAATGTCAATTAACCATGGACTGTATGCTAAATAAAAGGGCTGGGACCTTGGCCTGGTTGCGGGGAGGCCATAGCCATGAACCCAGAATGCCTCAGAGAACAAATCCACAGCCAGACCTCACTCTGCAACAAGTGGCTTCTCTTCCTAGGTCTTTCCTGAACTTTGCACAACAGCAAGGTATGAACATAGCTTAGAGGAGAAATCAGGACCCCTGCACTGAATGAATACTTTTAAACCCCAGGACAGGAACTGGAGCGTTCTTTAGCAACATAGTGAGCACTGCCCAGGGTCACCTGTCAACAGATTTTTAGGTGGCATTTCTTGCAGCAGTCAGTTGTCAGCCTGGGTTGCATCAGTACGCTTCACAATATTATGGATTGTGGTTTATGTGGGCAGATATTTTAGGACTCGGCTGTGGAAGAATATGGCTACTTTTAAAAAATTCTAAGCAAAGGCTTAGTCTGAGGAAGGAGACCAGACTTTCAGTCCTGTTGGTATTTTGGGAAGTATTTCATCATAACGATATTTCCAGGCTGCTCTGACTATGGCCAGTAAGGGAGAGACATCAAGACAGCCTGCCTTAAAGTAAAACAACAGTGGGATACTATTTTTTACTTATAAAATTGGGAAAGAACTTTTTAAACAATACCCAGTTTCCTGAGACTATATTCTTACATGGCTGATTGGAGGGCCATTTGGCCAAACACACACACAAAACAACAAAACATTAAAGCTGTGCATATTCTTTGACCCCACAAGTTCACCTCTAAGAATGTATCCCACGAAAAGAATTTTGTCTCTGCAATGATTTATCCATTAGCTTATGTTAAATACAATGTTGTTTGCAATAGTAAAAAATCAGAAATTGATGAAATGTCTAACAGTAGGGAATTGCCTAAAGGAATTTTGCTACACCCACATAAAGGACTAGTATACAACTACTAAAAATAAGGCTGTAGAAGAATATATAATGACATGAAAATTAAAGTTAAAAAGCAGTTTACAAAACACTACATGCAGTCTATTTTTGTTTAAAAATCACCCAGTAGAATAATCTGTACATGTGCATAGAAGGAAAGGCTAGAAGATTATACATTCAAATGTTAATAGCAACTATCTTTGGGTGGTGATTTTTATGATCTCTTTTATGCTCCCCCCAGCAAATCTTATATAACAAGTATTACATCAGCAACT